AAAAAAAAAAAAAAAAAAGGAAAGAAATCTAAGGAGTCCATATCACAACAGCATCAAGAGGACTGGCGGTGCAGCGGGCAGGGGGCTACCCCATGCCCGGTTCCGGGTTTAATCCTGGCCTTGGGAGACAAAGTTCAGGTTAACCTGGGGTCCACGAGGCTGTGAGTTCTCAGAAATGGCTGGTTTCGCTCATTGATTTAGAAGCCAAGCCTAAATTTGCTAAGCAAAGGGTATACGAATCGTACACCAGTGGCCTTCATTTCGGAAGGTGGGCAGAAATCCCTGCTGCTTTAAACCACCCGCTCTACGCTGGCTGCAGCAGAGTCCCCGGACAGGGCAGGATTTCTTGCTGCAATATTATATGTGAATGTTTTTATTTACTTGGTTGCTTTAATTAATACTGAAAACGCAACTCAAAACACAAGAAAGCCTTCGAAATAATGCTGAAAGCTGAAGCACGGCTGTTTTATAAATGTTTGAGCTATAAAAGTGATTAACTACGTTCTTTATGCTGCCTGAAGATGTGTACGCTACACTGCATTGAAAGCAAATCATACTGATCTATACGTCTACTTATATTATACATACCTATATGCTTGAATAAATATAGTTTTCTGACCTCAGCTATCTTGTCTGTTTGCCCTCTGGTGGTTCTTCTTCATTAAATATAGTGAAGTCCTGTCTGAAAAATACAAAAATCTGGTAATCTACCCTATCATTAGGAACATGAGTAGTAGCTCTCGCTAAGTAGATCATGCGTATTTGGAGGGCAAAAACAAGTGTCGCAAGATGAAGAGGAGGGTGTGACCGGGGCTGGGACGCTGCCCTGCATCCTGCCCTGCTCCACCCTTTCTCGGTGACCTTGGGGTGCCACCACCGGCTGCCCTCTGAAGGCACAGAGGTGACTAAGACCTGAGCATCCAGCAGCGTCGAGGTGGCACCTGGCTGCTTCCCAGGCTGCTTATGGGGGAGCAGACCCTTTTCACACCTTCTCCTGAAGGGATGGTGACAATGCTTTGGCCCGGCGAGGCACTGTGCAAGAGCAAGTGGCTGTGGACTTCCTCCCACCTTCCAGGGGCAGGGATGCTCTCACAACCCAACGTTTTGTGGCCCCTTTAAAACCAAAAAATGAGCAACGGTGTGGCCTTCTGCGGTGCCGTCACATCATTGTGGCTTTCCCAAAGGAGCCAGAGCTCAGGGGTTCATTAGGAAAATCCTCTGGGGTGGTGCATGGCCGGGTGGCGCAGGACCTCATCTCACAGGGGTGGAGCGCCCGCCAAAGCATGGGGATCATTTTGGAGGTGGTTGTGATGGAATTTGGTTCTGACCCTGGCTCTGACTCAGGCTGCACCGCCAAGTGACCACAGTGCCATGTGCCTCGGTTTCCCCTGTGCTTAATTGGGAATAATAATAGCCCCCACCACAATGTCCCAGGTGGCAGCGTGCGTCTCTCTCAGATGAAAGGGCTTTACAGATGCTAATTAAGAACATTTGGATGACAGGGCACGATGTTATCATCGGGTTAATATTTTGCTACCTGCACTGGAAGCACTAAATTGAATATTAGCATTACTTGAAGGCTACTCGATCTGGAGCTAGGGAGCTTATAAAAATTGTGTTAATCTGCTTACCTGCTCACTGATGCCAGCCTGATTCCAAAAATCTTGGGGCAGATCATTTAACATTAAGGAGGGCGTTGCAGTTCAGGGGAGTGAAATGCAATGGCAGTTCGAGAAATCCAGGCTGGGTTCTGTGATTTTGTTTTCAGCTCAGGAAAATAAGCTAAGCCTAGAGAAAGCATTCTTCCCTTTCGTTTTTGTAGCCCTCGAAATATGGGCATCAACTGGGAAAATGTGCACTTTGCCTGTATTTTTTTCTATGATACTGAGGGAGATATTTTGTTGGAAAATCAGAAATGTAAATAACAAACCCACCTTCTGGCTTCTGGATTTTCGAGTGAAAACAGGAATAGAAAATTTGCTCGGTGGTTCATAAGCCAGAGATCAATATCCTGCTTTGAACCATAGAATCATAGAATCATTTCTGTTGGAAAAGACCCTTAAGCTCATCGAGTCCAACCGTAAATTGAACACTGCCGAGTCCACCAATAAACCATGTCCTTGTGAGCCACGTCCACGCGTCTTTTAAATACCTGTAGGGATGGCAACCCAGCAGCAGCCCTGGTGCTTCGCATTGCTGAGAAAAGTTCCATGTACTCCATTAAAAGTTATTTCACCTCTTTTTTATTTCCATGTGTGGGATGTCACCTGAATTCCCAGCATGCTGGAACCCAATTCACAGGTGTCAGATTTGCAATAAAGGTAAAAAAAACCCCAAACACCACGGCCTTTGCTCCTGCAGATATGACTACGTAAAAATGCATTCCCTGTCGGCACTTAGGCTCACGCTGCTGTTAATTTTTCCTTGGGTTTATTTGTGGTATAAACAGGGAACAAAGGGCGGGATGACTGGTACAGGACATGAGCTCGGTTTGATTCAGCTGCCTTTCCCCAGGCCGCCCCAGCGTTCCTGCTCATCCCTTCTCCACTTTGTTGTGCCGGAAAAGCATCACCTCTTTCGGAAGGTTATTCACTTCGTGGCAAGTCCTTTTTAGTAGCTGTCTTGCCCTTAGCCCAAGGCTTTCTCAGTCCCCATCATCCGTCTCTTCCCTGGGTTCGCTGTGTAAGTGAAGGAAGTCTGCATGCCACAGTAATTACGGTCTGCAAAAAGTTGCCGGGAGTCCTTCCTGGACGGCGTTTTCAAAGGCACCGAAGGGACGGATGCATGTGGCTCCCATGGAAATGAGGAGTCCCTTGGGCAGCCCCTTTGGTGGGCTCATCTGCAAACTTTTTCTGGGTGGAAAGGCCTGGATTTGTAACGGGCAGGCAGGAGTGCTTCGGCATCGGGCATGGGGATTCGTAGCACGGGGGCCACGAGCAGCCCCTGCGCGGGGTGCCCTTGGCCTGCCAAAGACGTCGCTGGTTTGGCACGTTGGACCAGGAGGTTCTGCAGTGCTGGCTGGCGATGGCAGCCCAGCAGAGTGAGGACAGCCCTTCCCGCCGGCGCGAAGCTGCACGTGGCTCAGCCAGGACTGGCAGGCAATTAGAGCATCACCCAGCCAAACCGCCTCACTCCCCTAGGGCACTTATTCACTGTATAAAAGCTCTGGCATCGCGGGGCTCTCCTAGGCACTTCTCTCCGGTTGTTCTCACTGATGAAGTGGGTAAGTCTGACCTTTAATGGAGCTCCTGAAATGCTGTTTTATTCCTGGGTGGCTGGAGCAGGCAGAGGTCCTGCCTGCATACTCGCGGAGAAGCATCCTCTGGGGATGCTGCCTTCGGCACCGGCGTGCGCGGCGCTGGAGCATCTCCTCCGTGCTAAACTGAAGAATATTGGGAAAACGCTTCCAGATGGACTGTGAAGTCAGGAAAGGGATTTGTGGGCTTTGCAACACTTTCTGTTAGTTCTAGTCCAAAGGAGGCTCTTGACGGCAGAAAGAGCTCGATGCTGGCAGGAGACAGCTTGCACGTGAAAACGCAACTCCTGTAAAGGCGGTGGCATGGAGGGATTTGCTGCCGTTTTATGGAATTTAATCAAAACAACTTCTCAGATGGTTGGTAAGACGCTGACCAACTTCAGTGCCCGTGTGACAGTCAGCAAAGAGACTGTCTAGCTAAGTCTGAACACGGTAAAATGTCTGTCTAGGCTGACAAGGACAAAAATAAGTCTGATATGCAAACAACCCCCTGGAAGCAAATAATCCCCCCTCCTTCAGAAGCTTTTTATCTTGGTGAGCATCACCAGATACTTCAGCACTGTACATGGAGCAGCAGCAATTGCCGTCATTGTTTTTCAACGGGTTGGTTTTATTGGTGGATGATTATTATAATTGTAGTGATAATAAGGTTTCCTAATGATAGCAACGCACAGCATTGTTATCGCTAATAGTCACACGGTGATAGGGTTTTGGGAGATAAAACGCCTTACTGTAATTATAGACAGAACTAGGGGTGTTCAGAAAATGCGGTTTCTTTACAGTCGTTTAATTATATGTCTTAATCTCCAAACAAGGTTGAAATGAAAAAAACCAGTTTTGATCAGAGTACGTCTCACATGTCAGGGGTTCCAGGACCTGCTGAGCTCAAAATAATCCTGTGGAAAACTCAGAAAACTCCCTGGAGCTGGTGTTTTCCCCAGTGGGGAATGAAGTGGGATGGTTTTGCCCACGACTCCCAGGGCCAAGGCAAAGTGAGACATTTCGCAGTGGTTTTGGGAGGGAAGCCTGGGCCTCTCGATGGTGCCACCCGGTCCCTTCCCCAGGGATGCGGTCCTGGCTGGAGTCCCCTTCATGCCCGGGGCTGCCAGGAGGAGGTTTCACTCTCAGAGCTGCTATGCCAGGCTTTTTGACAGCGGGTTTTCGAGTTACCATAACAAACCCAAGCCACAGGTATGACTGTAGTGCAGGACTGGTGGCCATTCTCTCAAGCCGGTGAAACTTGACCAAGTTAACACCGGCTGAGATTTTGCCTTGGCAGCGTCTCCTTTCCTGCCATGGTTTCGCCAAACACTTAGAAACAATCCTGTTGTATTTCCTCTGTTCTCCTCTTGAAGATGCCTCCACGATAGTCTGAAGCTGGGACTGCAAGCCTTGCAGAGGCAGCGAAGCTGGTGTTATGGTAGCAAGGTCAGAGCTGGTAATTGCACGCTGCCAGCCCAGCAGACCCATAGGGGCCCGTGAACCGGCAGGCAGGCAGTCAGGCAGGTCGTACGTGCCGAGTTCTACGCTGCCACAAACCTATCCTTACTCTCAGCAGGCTAATTGACCCTCAGCTGGCTAATTGAACCTCAGCTTGGGTTTGCCCGCGTGAACTGCAGCCACGCCTGAGTATTACAGCACAGACACACCTTTAATTTTGGCTTGCCTTTCATCTCTGGGAGTTGCAGGACATAGACGTGAAAGGACGTCCCGGTGGGGACACAGGAGGTTTCCAGGGAGCAAGACAGAGGGCCATAGTGTCACTTGGTGAAATGCTCTGGTGGACACTTAGGTGGTCTTTGAAGGGCGGCATGAAAACTCTCCCAGTTTGCCTGGATCCAATCCCTGACTGTTTCTGGGCTCTTAAGAGAAGGGGGTGGGGGCACGAGCTGAGAACAGACTCTCCTCTCCTCCCCTGGGTCTTGAGTCACGGAGAGCCCCTGACCTTCAGGAGAGCTAGGCTGTGGGCTTGCCACATTGAGATGCCTGCAGGCAAACTCCGGGTCCTGCATCACCCAAAAGAGCTGATGTGAACCCTCTGTCTTTTTCCTGCTTCTTTCAGACGTAAGTGCCTTGCGTGACCATGCACTATTATGGGGAGACGTATAAGCACCTCTACCTGCCGGGATCAAGCTATATCACCGAAAGCATCCAGCAGTGCATGCCCCAGTCTGATGCGTGCAGTACCACGTGCCACCCAGTGAGCGTGATCAAGAGCCCGATGCCGAGATGGCAAAGCTATGCCCAGCCTTTCACTTACATCTGCCCACAGCCAAGCATGACCCAGGCATCCCTGCTGTCTTGCCAGCCCTACGTACAGCAGTGTGTCCTGTCATACCCCGAGCCTTGTGAGACCACTTGCCTTCTGCCCTGCAGGAAGCCCAGCCTGAAGCTAAGCACGATGCAGAGTTTCCAGCCCTGTGAGACCGGCCGCTCCGAGAAAAAACGTACGGCCAAGAGCCTCCCACCATGCGCACCCAGGTGCCCAGAGCCGGGCAAACTCAAGTTCCCACCGTGTGGGATCAAGTACTCGTCTTCATGCAAGGACGAATGCAGGTCACAGAAGATATCCAAATGCTCGTCGCAGAGGTACGGTGCGGAGCTCCGGTCCCAGCAGGGGATGACCAGCGGCTATTCCCCACCGCTGCAGGGAGTCACCGAGTGCCCCCCGCAGCAATGCATCTCCCAGTCTTTCCTGCAGGAGTACGTGAAGGGGTTCCCCCAGCAGAAGTACATGAAGGGCTACCCCACGCAGGAGTGCATCACCACCTACTCCTCGCAGCAGTGCGGAACCAAGTGCCCCCCTGGGCAGGCAATAAAGGAGTGCTCCTCGCAGCAGTGCGGAACCAAGTGCCCCCCCGGGCAGGGAATAAAGGCATACTCCTCGCAGCAGCACATAGCCAAATGCTCGCTGCTGCAGGAGGGAGCCAAGCACAAGAGCTCATCGACACAACACCTGAGCAAGTCCAAGTGCCTCTACCCGCGGGCCGCCCAGCACTCGGCGCAGCATCATGCTGGGGGAGCGAAACACTCGAGCCACTCCAAGAAGACTCGCTGTGCTTCCAAATGGCTGTGGTAAAGGAGATAAAGGAGTCGTTGTGGAAACAGCAAGCTATGTAGCAGAGGTCTGAGGTTATGTTCCTCCCCCTTGTCCCCCAGTCCTAGCCCCCTGAGAAGCTTTGGCCTTATTTTGCCCCTTATTCTATCCATGTTAAACTCATAGAGTGCATTGCCTTTCTTTTTTGACCACACTTCGGTTTTTCCTGCCACAGAAAAGATGTTAGCGAGAAGTTAAGTAACTCCGAGCGGGTGCTCGGGCTTTGAACTTCCAACCGATACAGCTCTGCTGTAGTGTTTGCACCCCGAGAGGTTTTTACTGTTACTGGATCAATTATACTCACCGGTTGTACCAGTCATATTAAACTCAGGTTGCAGCTGGATTCCTGCTTGTTGTCTGATTTATTTTCCATTTTTTAAAACTGCTTTAACATCTATTTCCTATTATTATACCGGTCCTTTGTGTAAAATCACGGCAGGAATCATGCTTTTAGGGCTAGACTTACCATCTGTGGGAACAGATCTCCGTGCTGAAAAGTTATCTGGAGACATAGTAAAGGCAGCAGCATGGGGTGGTGTTCAGAAGGCAGCTTGAGTAAAGTAATGAGACTCATTAGCAGCCCTCAGACATGAGTTTATTGTCTACCCAGGCTCAGCTCGGTCACACCGGCATCGCAGGGGAGCACACCCCGCTTGCACGTGGGTCACGCAGGAGAACTTTGAGCCCTGGGACCAGGGCAAGCTTTCCCCAGGTGTCCCCTGTTCTGCAGCTTTGGCCTGGGACAAACCACTGCTGAGCAGCTTACGGAATGGGTTGTGTGGGATAGACCCTGGCACAGTGGGAGGGGAGGAGGATGCTGCAGGCGTCTCTTCTGCTGCTGTCACCCCCCGCTACCCCCGTCTGCGTCAGGTGGGTGATCAGCACCAACAGCCTGTGGTTGTAAAATCACAGCCAGGGGGATAACTCACTTTTAGGTCCAGCTGGTCCTTGACATTTTCAGAAACAGCAGGAAACAGTTATCGTGCTTTGTCAATAATTTGATTCCCTATTATATATATGCCAGGGGCAGAGTCCCAAAGCACATTTGCACACCTGCCCTGCACCCCAGTCTCTCCCAGGAGGTGCTGCTGGGGAAGCAGAAGCTCTCTGCCACCATCTAAAGGTGCAGTGGGAGACCTGGCAGGTCCTTCCGTCGCTGCTTGGCTCTGCTCAGCCAGCTCCCCAGGGAAATCCCAGCAGGAAAACCACCTCCTATCCCCTTGGCTTCCTCTGCAGTGCCCCAAAGGGACAAAGCAGGTTTTCTATAGGCTCCTTTTTCTAATAAAGTGATAGGTTTGCCTGTAAAAAGAGACTGATGCTACCAGCGGTCCTCCAGGATTAGGGGGAGTCTTGCTTTGCATGGGGAGAGTGAATTCATTTTAACTCCTGGGAAATCACTAACCCTGGGGAATGAAATGAAAAAGAGAGGAAAGGCCTGAGCAAGTAGCTCCCTCCCGACCACCTCAGATGGGATCGGTCCCTTTCTTACACCGGGTCTGTTGAAAACCTGGCTCCTCTCTTGCCCTCACTGAGCCCAGGCACCAGCACGCTGAGGCCGGCTGGTGCGGCCCGGAGGTCTGCAGCCATGAGAGGGAGATGGAGGTTCACAATTAAGGCAGGAGGGTGGCACAGCCCAGGCCCAGGGGAAGCTCTCCCACCCACATTTATCCCACTTGCATGGTTTGAAAGGCTCTGCCGGTATCGGTCACGCTTGGTCCCGAAAGGATCCAGACTAACCAGATCAGCTAGCACGGGGAAGACGGCACTGATCAGCAGAAAAGTGTTTTCTTTTAAAAATCCAAGCTTCTGTTTCTGTGGGTTTGCTCCCGACAAAGGGGTTACACTGACACGATAACATAAAAACCTGATACCTCAAAGCAACCACTAAATGGTCCCTGAACTTCTACTGGCCCTCTGCATGAGGATGGGAGAAGTCATCAGCCCTGCAGAAAAAAAAAAAAAGGACCTGGTAGCTCAAAAGGTGACGTGAGGCAGTGCTGCTTCCCTGTGGCGGTGAAAGCCAACTGCAGGCTGGGCTGCCTGAGCCAGAGCACAGCCAGGGGCAGGAGAAAAGCGTTGATCCCCTCCAGCTGGTGTTCAAGAGGCCACATCCAGGTCTCCATGTCCAGTTTGGGCACAAGAGCCATGGACAACAGCCAGGAGCGAGTCTGATGGAGGCTGCAGGGCGGTCAGGGTGCAAGAAGAGAGAGGCTGGGAGAGCTGGGTATGTTTGCCCTGAAAAAAACACCGAAGGGAGGGTTTATCACTACCTTCACCCACCAAACGAGCGTTTAGGGCAAAGACGGGCTCCGCTCCAAGGTGGACAGTGACAGGATGGGCTACAAAGCAGCTTTTTCTTTTTTGGGGGGCTTACTTTGCCCAGCCTTTCCAAGCAACCACTGTCCAAAGCGATTCCAGTTGCAGGATCCCCCAGCTGGACAAACTCTACATTGCCCACAGTTTGAAGAGGCACAAGATGTTTAGGGTCATGTTTCTACTGCCATTTCCAAAGGTGGTTTTGTGCAGAAGGCTTAATAACTTCCAGAAATTCAATGGCAGCCTTACTGCCTTTTCTTCCCACAGGGAAGACTGGGAGGTGTAAGAGAGTTTCCAGTTTGGGGTATTCTGCAGGTGAAGTGGCATAGAAACAGGAATTTCCATTTTTCCAGACACTTTCCTCATTTTTAAAGATGACAGGTATAATAAGAAATCGGTTCAGAAGTCACTGAGGGATCCATAAGCTACCTGAAATTGTCAAAGAATATGAAATATGATTTTTAACATAAATTGCCAGCAATCTCTAGTAACAGAGCTCAGTGGGGTTTGCCTCCGTTGTGAGCTGCGAATTTGGGGCCTGGCTTTTCGGATAACTTTGTGTGAACTTTTCATTGCCTTTTGGGAGAGGGTGGGGAGAATAATCCCCAGCAATTAGAGACTGGTGAGGCGAGGTTTCCACACAACGGGGAATGTCAAAACACCCAAAAAAGAATATTCATGACTGGTTTATGCATGCAAAGTGTTTTATCGTTATAATATTAATAGTATGTTATCCAAGACAAGTGCCTCAGGGCTAATAGCAACTCTGGAATATGCATTTTTTGATGGAAGTGCCTTCATTGTTCTCATAAGCAGGATGTTGTTTTCAAGCCTTGACAACCCAAAGCATTTTGCATTTCCATTAACCAATGATTTCTGTTTGCATTCAAAAGCAATCGTTTTGAAATGGGTTAAAAGGTGGCTTCGGCTGGGAAAGTGGAACACGTGACTCAGCTCTGAGAATCCACCTGAATCCTTGGGAAATCAGCACAGCTCCACAAAATTCAGCCATTCCCATACATCAGTAGCCACGTGATTAATAATTTTTCCCCATACCTTAAGTCTCCCTTGATGCACTTTTAGCTCCTGAATGCTTTCCCCATGGCATCTACCTGCAGAAATTACCTCCCCTTCTTCCAGCCGTCTCTTTTGTAAGTGGGCATCCATTGGAGGTTACGTTTCTCAGCCTTCTGATGGCGCACGGTGACTGGAGCCAGACACTCAGCAACCGGTCAGTACCTTGAGGAGGAACGGGAATCCCCAGGCAGAATCATGTCATAGAATCATAGAATCATGTCCTCCAGCTGAAGCTGTGATAACAGCAGTGAAATAAAGGACAAGAAGCAAATAACCAAAGTGGTTTCAGTGTGAACCAAAATGGGGCACATGCAGTCTGCAAAATTCTCTTCTCCGCTCCTCCCTCCTCCAAGCTGCTTACAGGGATGAACCCCATGGTGCCTCCAACTAAATGCTGCAGTGGATTTAGGGGAATGAGTTAAAATCCCACACCTGGAAGCAGATAGAACCAATGCATCTGCAATACGTCGGTTGCTGTCTGTAAACCACCGCTCACGTAGTCATAGAATCATAGAATCATAGAATCATAGAATCACAGAATCATAGAATCATAGAATCATAGGATGTTTTGAGTTGGAAGGGACCTCTAGAGGTCATCTAGTCCAACCCCCCTGCAGTGAGCAGGGACACCGCTAACTAGATCAGGTTGCTCACAGCCCCGTCCAACCTGGCCTTGAATGCTTCCAGGGACGGGGCCTCCACTACCTCTCTGGGCAACTTGTTCCAATGTTTCACCACCCACGTTGAAGTCAAAACTGAGCAAACTGGAGTGAGTTGCATCCCCACGTTAATGCAGACAGAAGTGGTAGAATCACATCAGTGATTAAGTTAGACCCTAAAAATATAATACGAAGGGAACCCCACAGCATGTAACAGTACGTACCATGGAAAATTGAATAATGCCAGTAAACAATGTTAAAATAATTATAGTAATTATAAGTGTTACACATGCAGGAAAAATTGTTTGGAAAGTAATTAAGACCTCATGCACAAGGGTTGTCTCATCTTCCTGGAAGTTCAGGAAAGCAAATAAAACTCAAAGGATTCAGGGCTCCTCCGGCCATTTCTCTTGACTTCTTCCCTGACGGCTGGTAAGTCCCATTTGCCTCAATCTAATTATATTGAGTAAAACATTACTTTAACATGAGCTGGGGTTTAACAGCAAGCCACTCTGTGGTTTCTAAAAATATTAGTGAGATTATTCCTCAAAAAGTCTGCTAGAAATTATTTAGTTGTATGCTTGGACCATGTGCAGCCTTAAATATATATCTAGATAATAATATAGATCTATCTAAACATATATCTAGGTTAGACATTAGGAAAAATTTCTTCACAGAAAGGGCTGTCAGGCACTGGAAGGGGCTGCCCAGGGAAGGGGTCGAGTCCCCATCCCTGGGGGGATTTAAAAGCTGGGCAGATGTGGTGCTTATGGACAGGGTTTAGCGGTGGGATGGCAGGGTTAGGGGAATGGTTGGACTTGGTGAGCTTAAAGGGCTTTTCCAACCTAAATGATTGATTTTATGGGGACTGGCATCCTTTTAATAAGTAGCGCAATTTTGTTATTATTGATTGACTGCATATAAGTACAT